TCTGAAATCCTTCTCCATCCAGCACCTGAGAGAACATGTCGGCCAGCTCGAGGTCACGTGCGTTCTCCCCGCGTAGCAACCCAAAGTGCGATACCAGAAACGCCGCCCGCCCACGCAGATCGCCCAAAAGAAAAAGGTGTCACAAATCTGTCGGAATTGCTCCTCAGAGTGATACCCATCGAGCAACGAACCAACACCACGATCTTGGTAGTTCTTTTTCTGTGTTTCCGTTGTTTGGGCTTGTACATTCTTTATCAGCTGCTTGACTTGAGCAGACCGGGGATGGACATTCGAGTTAATCTTCAGCGCGACTTGTTGGTTGTAGAGATCGACGATTGCATTCACTTAGCCGCAAACAGTCGAACCGCCAACGAACGTGCCCTTCTTCTTCTTGGATTCTCGGCCTACCACCTGCTCCGTCAGGAAAAGGTGAAGCTTCCCTTTTGTGACCGTAGCTCCATCGCAGAAATGCTTTTCACTGCACCAACTCTGAAACTCAGTCTGATAGCTTTCATCCTTTCTCTTCGTGTTGATCGGACGCGTATCTAGAGTTACCTGTAGGGTAGCCCGTTCGCTCGCTTCTATCTGCATCTGCACCGCACTGTCATCAGCCTGCTGCCCCTGCCCCGAAGCTGCCGTTGCTGCCGCATAGGAGTGGATCGAGATGCCAGACTCCCTCCCCATATTGCGACCTTCTGTGTTGTCCCGAATGAGTTCAGGTAAAAAAAGAAAAGTATCATAGCTAGGTCCCAAATCTGATAGTGACTCGGGTCATGACCCCTGTACCCAGCTGTGATGATACCCATTAAGTATCAGCTAGAAATGTGCTTAATCTAGACATAAGTCTTGAAACATTGATAAATGTAATCGAGACAATGTCGGCTAGTGTAGTAATTCAGGTGAAGCAGCGATGTCAGATGTTAGAAATGGTGATGAATATGTGAATGGAAGCCATTTCAATTGCCATCGCAACGTCTTATAACGGTTGACGCGTAGCAATGATAGCATCTACGCATAGATACCTTGGGTAACCCATGGCATCTACAGTCTTGCTCGTCAAAGCGCACGCACCAACGCGTGTTGGTTACTTTTAAGTTACACTTTAAAAAAATATTATCGTATAGAGCCGAAAGGTGAGTAAATGCATGATTTAGTCCGTAGACAAAGGATATGCCCTCCAGCTCCATCATAACCAAAGCCAATACGTCCACACTACGAGTAATATAGCTTTGTGCGGGTGGGTTGAGCGTGCCAGCGGTTTCATCAACTGTAATTCATTCTGCTGGTTGACTCAATTGTTAGTGAGTTGTACAGGAACCCCAAGTAATCTTGTAAGCTGTTGTGATTCTACGAGGGACGCGGCGCGTTCGTCGCGATTTTGAACTATGAGGTCACGCTATAGCTACTGTTGCCGGGCGACCTGTAAGCCAACTCTGCGGCGGTCACGCGGTAGTCTTGAACATTCTAATTACAACACTTTGTACGTTGAGTTGTAGTTCTACTTACTTGTGCTCACTGGTACGTTTCTAGTCGCAACCAGAAAATAACGCTGTAAGGACCTTGACGTTGATTGCAGCACGCCTTCCACCCCACGGCTATTTCTGGCAGAAGTCACCTACGGACATTCCAGCCCCAGTACGCCGTGGTTCTCGTGCCTAGCTGCTGAGTAGCTAATCCAACTCACAATCACTACAAATCCGGGCAGATTCACATTAACTCGCGCCGACTAGTGAATTCACCCAGATTCGCATCAAGACGGCGCGAGGTAATGTGAAGCCACCCAGATTCACATTAAGTCGGCGCGAGTTAATGTGAATCTGGGTGGATTCACTTTAAGCCGGCGCGAGTTAATGCGAATCTGCCCGGATTGCGGGTGGTGATCAGTTACAAATCAAGGTGAATAGCTCAATATCCGCGTGTATCACTAAGCTCGCGGCGTATTCCAACAAATGCAAAGAGCTAGATTATGTTTCCTTAATGGACTACCACGCCAGGAGTATTTTCGATCCTCAGGCACTACTTTAGGGGGCTTAAGAGATGTACGGCCGGCGCATAAGTGATTTACTCGTATGGACCTTACAGGATAGTATGTTACAAAGCATCTGCCACTGCGCTCGCGCGTCTGGGAGGTGTGTGGCGAGCACAGAACTCATTTGCTCGCATGGAACATTTAAGCTAACTTAATGCGAAGCGTTCACACTAAGAGTGCGCGTCCTAGAGGGTTTGGATGGGAGCAGGAGCCATCTGCTCGCATGGAACATGTAGATAAGGATATCGCGAACCGAATGACACCCCACCCGTGCATCCTGGAAGCGCACGATACGCGCAGGGGTAGTTTTAGACTGTGGCCTAGTGCAGCAGTGACTTACAGACTGATGATATTCCTACTCCTAGATTCACGCTATCCAAGCTCGTACGAGGCTAAAGCTCATATGAAACAATTGGCGGGAACCCGGGTTCCCGCAAATGATACCGACCAAATCGCGAATTATTTATTTTATTTTTGGTCTCCATATTGGTACCCTCGGGGCAAGTTAAACCCTCATACCTGAGAGCATCTCCAGCGGTTGGTCTCAAACACAGTTTTATCCTAAAAGTAACGCTGTTAAGACTTGGCCGAGACTTAAGGCTTCCACCAGAAGGTCCTATTGCAGGTTTTAACTTCACCGGGACTATAGATTGGCTTTCGAGTCTTAAAATAAGACCACAATCTTAATGCCACCCATACAAAACTGAAGAGTCGCCGTATTTAAAAGATTGCACCAAGACTGAATGCAATTTTCACATGCGGGAATGGACTTATAAGACTCGCTTTAGAACTCACCGCTGGAAGTAAGTCGGTCTGCGCGGGTCTCAACTGTAAAATTGTGGTCTCAAAGACCCTGTTACGTCTTAGGATAAGACCCACCGCTGGAGATGCTCTAAGTGCTGTCGATGAAGGACTACCCTCAAAATATGCCACAGGTGCTGAATAGATCCAAATAACATACCTTACCATGTCCAAGTTTATCTTTCATGAGCAGGAGGATAGCGATGAGACCGGAAAGCACTGTACCGCTGCACAAGACAAGCGTCTGGATTTTCGTGGAGAGACAAAGGACGAGGGCGAAGGTGAATTAACCTTCCGTTCCCCTACTGAGCTTTAGCTGCGTTCTATGTAGGTCATAGACCAACACGTCAATACATTTGCTCATACATGTGTACCGGTAGTTTTGGGGGAACCGGGGTCCCGATGGGTACCCGGGTTCCCGCCAATTGTTTCATATGTACATGTAGCCCTAAGTGTAACATAATTGTAATACAAGCCTCTAACGTGGTGAAGTCAAGCAGAGCCAGCAGGACCAAGAGCTGGTGGCAACTGCCGCGGCGAGACTACAGGCTGTAGTCATGTGATCTAGCTATTGGTGTAAGGCATAACCCCGCCACACACGACATCCTGTCCGAAAGCTAGCCATATAGTAGTTGAATACACTTGAATTCCAACAGTATGCAAAGTAAACCACAATTCGTTAAAGCTACTATGCTGTAGGTTAATCACCTTCGCCTCAGTGAATCTAGGGAGCGCTTAGCTGTCGCGGAAATAAAGTAAATCGCAAGTTATAGCGATAGCTACGTATTCATGCCCTGCTTCGTGTATTCAACCATGGACACACAACATTTTTGGTAAGCCCAGTCGTCTTAAAAAATGCAGCTACCTCACTTAAAGTGTCCTAACAAAACTACTTGAAGTAACCTTGCTTATCGCGCTACCTTTCTTGCGAGGAATTCTTCTTTATGCAAGCTACCTAGGTAGATTGGGTCGGTCGTCACATGAGGCGTGAGAACAGGAGCTTCATAGATGCCTCAGGCTGTGAAAACTGCGCCGATTCGTACCAGCTCCGCTCAAAGGAGCTAAAACTAACGCCTCAATGAAGCATCTGCATGTGTTGTGCTCAGCCGTATTCCATGCGAAGAAATGCCAACAAGCGCCTTAGTACGTGCCCATGTTACTTCAATTTTTTAGTAGGTCAGTAACAGCTAATATCGTCGATTTACATGCCATAGCGGAGGTAAGTGTCTGATGATCAGTCAAGCGGTGGTGAGTTTCTCGCATTGAGGGTCCCACGCGAGGCCTAAAGAAGAAATGCGCGCATGCGTCGTGTGTATATGGTCCCTATAAAGTTATGTATCTAGCTGTTGGCAGCCCCAAACGCTCGCTCGAGTCGCAGAACACCGATAGTCGATCTTGCTGGTATTTCCCTGCGACTTGGGATGCCGGTTGCGGCACGACGAATAACCAATTCCCTAATTCCTCGTATGGATTATCCAGATCTAACCAATATAAAGCGAGTGCAGCCCCCGCATAGTGGATTATCAGCGAAGCAGTGGTGCAGGACTGCATAATGCTGCGCCGCCAGCGGCACGTTGCAAGTTGCCTCTAGCGACTGTGCGCTGATTGGCTGAACGCCGAGCTTAATGAGCTTGGCGGCTGGCCTGTTTCATGTGCTGGTCTGCCCTGTTACTTGTCTGGTGCAGTGCCGTGCAATATGGTGCTGCCCACGTATTTTATGGTGCTGACACAAGTTTTTGGTGCTTGTCCCAGTTTTAAGGTGTTGCTCACCTCTCGTCCGCAAATCGTTTTGCTGGAGCCCCAAAATCGTGATTTTTGTTTGCTGGCGCCCGTTTGGTTTTGCTGGCGCCCCATCTCGTTTTGCTGTCACCCCAAAAGGTGTTTGTTCGCACCCCGGTCTCATGACGCCACAGTTTGCCGACCCAACGACCGACGTGTTCGTGAAGCGCATGCCGGCAACCAGTGGCGACGCCAAGACGGCCACGAACGTTTGGCTCCTACAAGGCGGTCCGGGTTTTTCCTCCTCTGCGTGTAAGTATTTTGCAACAGCTCTCGCTTCGATCACTCTACCAGTATGCGTACCATTTACTAGCCTGAATATCTGCATAGTGGAGCCGTCGATGCTTGCTCTCCACACTGAGCTAGCAGGCGCAGCGAACATCTACATACGATGGACTACCGCGGTGTTGGCCGCAGTACGTTTCTGGAATGTGTCGCGGCACAAGCGAATACCACAGGGTCTCCGAGCGGTAAAGACTTCGACCCGTCGGAGGTCCCTGCCTGTGCCCACGATGTAGAATACGAGTACGGGGACCTTGCCGCCTTCTCGGTTACAAGCTTGGCCACAGACTTGGCGACCTTCATCCCGGAGCACACCAATGACGCCGATACAATTGTGTACGGCACCAGCTATGGCACAATTTTTGTGGAACGAGTGATGCACCTGGCCCCTCCTAAGGTGACGGGGTACGTCTTGGACGGTATCGCAGCAACATCAGGGGCCCCAGCGAACGAGTTTTTCTACATGTCCAAACGTGACGTGGATTTCGGTATCGTGGGCGATCGGTTCCTGGAGCTCTGCGCCCAATACGCCACCTGTAGCACCTACTTCAATAAGCCAAACACGCTGCCGAAGACGCTTCAAGACTTGGTGTCAGACTTTGACAAGGACCCAAACTCGACGTGTGCGACGCTTTTGCAGGACGTGGCTAAATTCGGCGAGATTTTACCTTCGGCCACGTGGCTTGACCGGTATTCGGCCGGCATCCGCAGCCCGCAGGGTTGCGGAGGCCGCCGCCGCGTGAGTTTAGAGTTTTTGTTAGCGTGACCGAGAACTTGAGGAGTCTATCATGAGATTCACTTATGCCCTTATGAGTAAAGCTGCGGAGTAGTGAAAGTGAATGCGAGTCTCGACGGGAAGTATCTAGCTAATAGACGTAGTATGCTGTGTCTAGGTTCATTTGTAGCGTTTTGGTTGGGCGTCTGCGGCTCGAGCGTGAACTCAATCAGCTGGTGACGATCCAACAGAAGATCCGCGAGGCTATACAGCGCGGTCCGGAAGTTGCGAAGCAGCGGATTGAGGAGTCATTGAAGCCGCAATTCGGCTTGTACGCGCGCTTCTTCTGTACGCCTTCTGCAGGGTTAGGTAGTTGGGATCGTTCTCAGTCTTGCCGTCATGTCCGGGTGATGCTCGACCAGCACGTGGTGCTAGGCCTTCTTGACCTCCTCGTCCGCCACCTCAAAGCAGATGCCGCTCCCCAGCTTCTCGTACTGCAAGTCGCGGATGCTACGCCGGTACCAGCCCAGAATCGACTCCTCCTGCTTGTGTAGCGTGTCAGCACCTTGGTGACGGCTCCGAGCCCGTGACCAGCGCCAGGAACAACAGCACCGACGTGAAGATGAACACGAATCGGCGGAAAATCAAGTACGACGCCGGGATGGCGCCGCGGTCGCGCTGCGAGTACTTGATCACGCGCGTGTGCACGCAGAGTAAGTGATGATGCAGCCTACGCTGGACAGCGCCACGAGCACGAGCGCCAGGATGACCATGCTGTTACTTGTCGAATCAGCACCCAAAGACGCACTCACACCAGCGATTCTGAACACCGCGACGGCGTTGAAGATGCAGCCGAAGATCATGTAGCCCTTGCACCGGAGCCCCATGATCGGGTAGCAATCGAAGAGCAGCCCCACGAGGAAACTCGGTGCCACTGGCATCTGGATGAGACGCTCCACCGCCACGATCTGCGACGAGACCAATCCCAGCTGCGTGTTGTACATGAGCTGCGCCTGCACGACCAGCACCTGGTACGACAGCATGGGCGTGAAGATGGCGGCCACGAGGCCCAGACACTCCATGGACAACAAGTCGACGGCACCACCCTTGCGCAGACTGCCGTACATCTCGTGATTGTAGAACTGCTCGCCCGCCACGAAGCGCCCTCCTTGGCCGTCAACGGCGCACCACTCGTGTTGAAGTCCATGAGCGACTCGAACGTGCTGAAGTCCTCGGTGGCTGCGGCGCCATGCCGTTCAGCGACTTGGCATGTTGCTGGGAACGCTCGGATCACCTCGTTATCACGGCGCTAGATTGACGCACTCACTCATACGTAAGATACGTAAATTAACAGGATGAATGGCATTGTATGCGTACATTCAGCGAGGTGTCTTGAGAGTTTTTTTTTCTCGCTTTGCCAAGTTTAGGTGCCACGGACTCGATGATCACCACCGTCATGGGCACCGGGAGCCTTCAACCATCATGCTAGTCGGCATGCCGCGGTGTTGGCAGGCCATCGTCGCGTCTACTCCCTCGTGGTGGTGCAGCTTGGCGTCCTGCAGCTCCGATCTCCTTGGTGCTCTTCGCCGCCTCTTCGGTTTTGTGGAAGCTTTAAGCAAAACCTTTCACTACAAATTTCTAGATAAAAAGGGGTTGTCACCCCCATGACATCGTGGGCCTACCGGGACATGTACCGGGACAGGCATCTGGTCTAAACTGGTCCCATCTGGTCAAGTTGGTCTAATCTGGTCCGGGGACAGGCCCACGAATTCCACGTTGACGCTCACACTCGGCAGTATGGAGAGCTACGGAAACTCATCCCACCAGTTGTTTACCGCATGAATCGCTGTGAGGCCAAGCACGCCGACGTCTTGAGCCAGTTCATTTTATACTTCAACGCGTTTGTTACTGCATCATCCCAAGACGACGCCTTCTACTCCCCGCTTCTCTTCTACCTCATCTCTTACTCGGAGATGTGGGAGCACCCGCAGCCCTCCAAGGCTGGAATGGAAAGAACGCTCTGATATCTGCCGGAGCATTTGTGGAGCCTCCGCAGTGAAACCGAGACAAGTTATTCCTCCACTAAGAAGTATGAAGGGCGGTGATGTGGGAGATCGCTGGGCTCTGGATATCGCCGGTTCGTTCCCGATTAGCACGCGAGGAAATCGCTATGTCATTGCAGCTATCGAGTATGTCACCCGATACGCCGTTGCTGCTGTCGTCGAGAACCACACAGCTGAGAGTGTGGCAAATGTCATCATGAAGAATGTAGTTCTGCGTTTTGGTGTATTTCGTGAACTGCTGACCGACAGCTCGACTGGACTCGTGGGTAAAGTGCTGGACAAATTGACTATATTGCTACAAGCGCAACAACTAAACCCTGTACCATACCGACCACAAATGGTTGGCCTCGTCGAGCGTTTCCATCGGACTTGGAAGGATTGTGTCAGCCTCTTCGTAAATGATTCTCAAGAAGATTGGGATGAATGGGTTGATTACGCGCTGTACGCTTACAACTCGGCGGTCCACTCCACCACCCACTTTACGCCAAATGAACTTATGCTAGGCCGACGTCTACGCTCGCCGAATGATCTACTCCGCCGGGATCAAGTGACACAAGCTGGTCCCGCGCAAGAATACCATGACAAGTTGGTTGAGTCGATGCAGCTCGCGTTATCGGCGGCACGTCGCGCTACTGCGAAAGAGCAACTGCAACAAGCTCGTTTTTACAATCGCAAGGTGCGAAGTCGGCGCGAGTTCAATCCTGGAGATTTAGCGTGGTTTTACAGTCCTCCGCCTGGTCCGAAGTTTAAACATCGTTGGATTGGACCTGTAAAGTGATTGACTCCGCTGGTTACGATAACCTGCTAGTTCGGCGCCACGACCAGGACGGAGACCATGAAGATTTGATTGTGACCAGCAGTTTCGTAGTGATCCCGAAGAACTCCTGGTCACGATAGCAAACGACATCTTGGTGGAGTTAGATGGAGACGAGGTCGTTGACAAACCGCCGGCAACGCTGGAGAGCACAGCTGGTGATCGTAATCGTCGTGCCTTCAATGATAATGCCCATGGTGTTGATGAGCCACGGACCGACGGCGTTCATCACCGGGATGGAACTGACGAACCGGTCGTGTAGACCTTCGCGTCCAGGAAGCGTTGTCGTCGACGTGAACCACCTCCGGTTGCTATACAACGAAAGTGGCATGGAACCGTGTCTGAAGTTCGCCGACGTCGCCGCCGAAACAAAACTGGTCGGTATGTCTTAGAGATCGAGGTTGGACCATGCGGTTTGGGTGTAAATCTGGATCCACAATGGATGTAAAGGCGTCGCCGTTGGGTAGGCGTTAACGAATTTGAGCGCCTGTGGCGAGGTGGCAGAGTCGTGGAAGACTCTAATGTAGGGGAAGTCGTGTAAGGAATGGCGGCAAAAGAGTGCACGTGTGGCGGACACTAGACTGGGGTTCGAAGATGAGCAGTGCAGCTGTGGGTACATCGAAGCACACGAAGTCGCCAGCGAGCCGTTGAATCACGCCAGCAGGTTGATGGGCGCTCGCTATAGTTCATGTATGAAGCCAAGCTCAGCAGAGTGAAAGAAATGGCGTTCGTGAAACCGCTCTAGACTCTAGAGTCCAGCGAGCGAAATGGGTGCACGAGCGATAGGCAGGAGGCGTTGGGCGCTGGTGTGGAGCCGACGCGGAACGGCTCAGTTGAGAATTCGCCGGCTCTGACGCAGTCAAACAAATCAAACCGTCACTAACGCTAACGCCTCGGCACGGGAGAAACCAAGGGCGCCGTCGATCTCGTCGTCGGAATCGCGGACGCGTAGCAGAACTCGCCGTGGGCTTAGTGCTCGGGGTTGCTGCTCGTTGTGCGCACAAACGTCGTTGTCGTCGCTATCTGCTAGACGTAGCTGGTAGCTGTTCGACTTAACATACAAACGAACGCTGGGCCGCCTGTTATGGTCCTATTCTCAAGGCTAAACATTGCAACCCTGGGATACACACTGGGTTACGTTTTAGAGGGTACTATACGGGTAAGGGGTATTATTTGAGAATTTACGTTACTTAAATGTTTAACTTTAGATGTTTTAAAACCGTGTCGGGAGATGTAACAGTTGGTCCATCCGAACAAAACCTTGAGCCCTGGCTGGCCCGGGCGGGCGGGTACGGGTACCCGGTCAGCATCGTTTGCGAGCCCTGGTACTTACACGGCGTCTGGGGTTCAACTTGCTTTTCCATCTCTTGCATTGAAGACGACGGAGTTTCCCACATTTCCGAGAAGTTGAGCAGGTAATATAGCAGCGGCGAGTAGAGCGAGTCGTCCTGACTCTTGGAATTCGTAGTAGCACTACTCGCCTCTACGAAGTTGGTCAGAACGTCGACGTCTCTCTTGTTGCACCGATTCAGTCGGTAAACCAGCGGTGGAATGAGTTTCCGTTGCTCATCGTCCATCAGCATTGTGCTGAGCGTACTGCGTAGGGTAACCGACGGCATCACGGTCCCGTCGGTCAAGATCGTTGCGCACGTCGAGTTGGGATTCTTGTCAAACTCTGCGAGCAGCTTCTGTAGCACTTTGGGCAAAGTATTGGACTTCTTGAAGCGACTGCTCCAGGTTTTGTCTCGTGAGCAGAGGTCTAGGAACTGGTCGCCGACTTCGCCAAAGTCGGTGTCCCAAGTAGAAGTGTACATGAACTTTTCGGCCGGCGAGCCTGAGGTCGTAGCAATACCGTCCAAGACGTACCCCGTCACCTTGGGAGGGGCCAGATGCATTAGACGTTCCGCCAACCACGTGCCATAGCCGGTGACGTAGATGATGGTATCGGCGCTGCTCGTGTACCCTGAGATGAACTTCGTCACGTCGGTTGCTGCGCTTGTCACCGAGAATGAAGCGAGATCGCCGTACTCGTTTTCTAGCTCCTGAGCACAGGCTGGAACCTCCGATGGGTCGAACTGTTGACCATTGGGAAAACCGGTAGTAGTAGCCTGCGCGGCGACGCAGTCCAGAAAGGTGCTGCGGCCTGTGCTGCGGTAGTCCATCGTGTAGATATTCGCCGTCCCATTGAGCTCTGTAAACACATCGGACATCAAACACTCCGCTTGAGCTTCCTTCGTCGGAGAAGGTGGTCAGCGCACTTGTACCAGCCATTCAGCCAGCCACGTCTTTAGAGTTTAGTCAATAGTTTCAAGTTGACGCAGCGCACGAGTTTAAATGAAGTGTACGTACTCGGAAGTTCGAGCACATTACTCATTACTCGAAAGTCCGCGAAATGTACTCAAAAGTAAGGATGACCCCTCGACATCGGGTAACAGTAGCCATAAATTCGATCTGCAAGTGATAGAGCAGCAAACATACAAACGCGTTTGCAAACACCACTAACTGTAAGTAAGTGTGTTGTGATAATCTCTAACATATTTGTGAAGTACACTACTAGAGGCAGTGAGGACTTTCGACTTCAAAGGATTGGTTGACTTTGTCTGCATACCAGAGGTTGAGATTCCCCAAGGGCGGTTGGCCGTACGCGGCCGTACAAGTCCTCGTATCAATTCGAATAACCGCGATCACCGGAGATATTCTTCGGAAGATTGAGCGTGTACGCAAGGCCCTTCCTGGCCACAACCTTGAAAGGTCCGATGAAGCGCGGGCACAACTTCGTCTTGAAGACGGCTGACACTGCATGTGTAGGTAGGTTCTTAGCGTTAAGCACCACCAGGTCCCCGACCTCATAACTTTTAACATTGCCTCTGCCCCTGGTATCTGCATGTTCCTTTTGCTTGTCTTGGCTCTCAGCCATCGCGTCACGCCCATGTCGTAAGACACTCAGACGCGTCGACAAGAAAGCGTCAACCTGTTTACGAACAGTAGCCGGGCTGACATCGGCTAGCCGATCAGCTAAACCGGCTTCTCCTCCCCCACCAAGCCCGAGGCCACCACGTGGCGGCGTCAGCGGGACGCGGGGATGAGACAAGCTGTTCACGTAGAACGGTGTGTAGCCTGTCGAGGCGTGCACGGCGTTGTTGAACGCAAACTCAACGAGTGGCAACATGGCGCTCCAACGCTTCGGTGTCTCGGCGCAAAGGCTGCGGAGCACGTCCTCGACGACGCGATTCAAGCGCTCTGTCTGACCATCGGTATACGGATGGTCCGCCGCGGACATGTCCAGCTTGGTGCCAAGCACCGCAAAGACCGCGCTCCAGAAGTTGACAGTTAAGCGGGGGTCTCGGTCCGAGATAATCGACTCAGGGAGTCCGTGTTGTAGAAACACTCTGTCAAAGAACAGCGTTGCTGTACCTTTACCATCGATGGTGTCCGGCACAGCCGCAATGTGAGCCATCTTGCTCAGTCGGTCCACGAAGACCACGACTCCAGTGTTGCCCGCCGCATCCACCGGCAGGCCAAACACAAAGTCCATACTCATGGATTGCCAACAGCCCGAAGGAACAGGCAAACTCGCCAACGGCGCTGCATTATGAGGTGACGACTTCACTCGCTGGCACCTCTCGCACGTGCGCACATAAGTGCTCGTCCACTTGTACAGCTTCGGCCACCAGTAGTGGGTGCTCACCGAGCTGTAGGTCTTCTCACGGCCAAGATGACCGGCCAGCGGCGTATCGTGTGCCTCATAAAGGATGCGGTACTTCAGATCCTCATCATGAGGGACGACCACACGGGGCGTATCCTCGGGGCCAGTGTCGTAGAACAACACGCCACCATCGAGGGAATTTCGGTGTAGCCGCGCGCGCAGCCGCGCTGATAATTCCATGTCCGAGTCTTGAAACTCCTTGCTCCCCAGAGCGTTCAGCAACGCGACACAGGTGTCGTCCTTGGCATAAGCCGTTCGGATCAAATCCGGTAAACACGAAGTCACGGTCGTTACATGAGCCAGCTCATAATCCGGCCTGCGCGACAGCGCGTCCGCAAGGACATTCTACCTGTCAGGCTTGTAATTCACCCCGAAGTTGTACTCCGCGAAGAAGGACAGCCAATGGGCCATCCTTTGCGAGAGGTGAGGCGACTGAGTCGCAGTGCGTAACGACGCATGATCCGTGTAAATCACGAACGGCTGAGAGCCCAACAGGTGCACCCTGAACTTGACGAGCGCATACTTCATCGCAAGTAGCTCTTTGTCATGGCCAGGATAGTTCTTCTCCGCAGTCTTCAGCTGGCGAGATTCGAACGCCACCACGCGCTCGCGCCCCTCGACGTCTGCTTGCAGCAGTGCACAGCCGATGGCAAAGTCTGAGGCGTCACAGACGACACTAAACGGACGAGCGGGGTCTGGCAAAGTCAGAATAGACGCATGAAGGAGACTGTCCTTAATGGCCGCGAACGCATCTTGATGCTCGGTGTCCCAACACCACTCCGCATCCTTCTTCAGGAGATTGGAGAGTGGCCGAGCCATTTCATCGTAGTTCTCGCTGTACTTGTGCAAGTAATTGGCGAAGTCAAGCCATTTGCGAAGATCCTTCTGGTTCTTGGGAACCGGCCAGTCAACAATGGCCTTGACCTTGACCGGGTCGGCCCTCAGGCCACGCTTTCCAATGTAGCACCCTAAGAAGGGGATCTCTTCCGCTCCGAAGAGGCGTTTGTCAATGTTGGCATACAACTTGTTTTGACGCATGCATTCAAGCACAGCACGCAGGTGCTCCACATGGTTCTCCATATCAGTCTTTCCGTGTACAGCAAGACTGTGGACAAAGATGTCATCGAAGTACGTTTCTCCTGGGGCATCACCAACCACTCCCAGAGCATGCCGCTTGGAGTACTCACCGCAGTGAGACGACTGTCGCTCGTCCTCATGAGCAATTGGTAATATTCATCGACCAAGTCGAGCGCACTGTACATCGTACATCGTGTCATGTTGTTCTGAAGCACATCCTTCCGAGGAATCGGCGTCTGCGCAGGAATGGTAGCGGCATTCAGCTTGTTGAAAGCATGCACGATACGCAGGCTTCGTCAAACTAGGATATCCGTCCTAGTGCCTATATTACCTCAATGAAGGAAGGCTGGGGACCCTTAATATAGGATGTATCTCTACTCGATACTTAATGAAGCGGATGAAGCCTAATCAACGACTGCGCTGTGCGCTACTTTCACTAGCTCCAAGTACTGCAAAACATGTAGCTCGTCTTCTGGCGAGAAATCGGTGAGTTGACCCCAATGCTCACTCTTCATGCGTTTCAGGATCGAGATCTCCCCATGTCTCGGTTGTTTTGAGCGTAAATAGGCGGTCGACATTGTTTCCAAACCTTCGATCGACTCGACACTCTTCCTTCAAGCTACAATTCTGGGCCCAAATTTTCCCTACTACCGAATCGCCGTCCTGTCTGGTAAATCGGTCTTCATGCCTGTTAAATAACTCGGCAAACGCGCCATGAGTAATAAGAGCAGATTCTTTACGAGTCGCCATGGCGTATACTGTGTCCTGGGCGGACAACGTAATGCCCAGGACCCCGTCAATAGATCCTTGTTCACCATCACGAACTACGAGAACCAAGCCAAACTGTCTCGTATCTCTTAAATTAAAGCTCGCATCTCTTAAATTAAAGTTCACTCGAAAACAATGACGCCTTACACTCAGTCTTCACCTCACTTAAGCATCAGGGCGTTTCTGGAGCGTTGTCACTAGCTTATTGCGGGCCGAGTACAGTACTGCTCGGATACAGTGACATGTTTGTACTGCAGTCACTCAAATCATAACTTGGCTGGCCGCGCGAGATCCGTGACCACAGACAAACTATCCACCTCAAACTGATCGAAAGCGAGCAACCCTTTTCTTTTTGCAGCACAACCGATTATAATAGTTGCGCTTGAGTGTCAAAAACTCGCAGGAGTCATAGATAGAATCCCACCGGGTTTCAGCATAGTGAAGACAGCTCCCTACACTACGTTTAGTAGACACGTGCGTACGCGTGTAAGACATCTCTGAACCTAGGATCGTGCGAAAGTCACAACAAAGCTGTCTAAAATCAAGAGCAATTGGTTCATGGCCAGGTATAGTTCATAACGGAAGCCCCAATAGTCTAGATCACTACAATTGGTATGTAGCCATCCTGTTAATACAGGACGCTGGCAGAGGCTTAATTAGGAAGTGCGCCCAATTTATGTTCATTCTTCCTAGTTTGACGATGCCTGACGATACGCCACTTGCCACTCGGCTTTCTGACACGGAACGTCGGCGTAGAGTGTGGAGACTTACTCTCACGCACCATACCCGCCTCATGCTTCGCACGGAAGAACGCGTCAATGACGTCACACTGCTGCTTCGGCAAGGGCCACTGCCTCGTCACGCAGTACTTCGTTCCCGGAACGAGATCGATTTCGTGTCGAACACCTCGATCCGGAGGTAGCCCCGAGGGCGGCTCCTTCGAGACCACGTCCTGGTAATCCGTTACCACTTGATACAAGGGATCCGACGGGTCCTTCAGGATCGCCGATCCGCTCCGCGCATTCAGCGCCTTCTTGGTCACTTTCAGGACAGCTTCATCCAGAAGCGAGGATGAGTTCAGCTCTTCTTCGGGTCGTATGACCACTACCTCAGCCAAGTCTCCAGCATTCAAGGCTTCGCCGAACTCGGCCAAGGACAACTCGTCCAGCTCCAGTAGAGCAGACAGTGAGGGCAAGTCGTCGAGGTTGATACCTCCGTCGACGTCGCCCGTCACTCCATTCACGAGTGTATAGAGCTGCTCGCTCTCGCGTGGAGCCTCACCGCCCGACACGCCCTTCTCGACTCGTGAGATCACAGACGCCTTGCGTCTCGCAGCCAGCGCTTTGCGGCGCTGCCTCCTCATCATGGAGACCGTCCGCCCTGAAGAGCTCCGTGAATTCGCGACGCCAGGTGTCACCACCTCGTTCAGCTCTAGGGGAGCTCCAGTGTCTTTACCGACACTCAGCGAAGTGCTGCACAATCCGCAGCCTCCACTCAGTGGATGACGTGCCACTCCACGATCTTCATCCGGGCAAAGCCCCTTGTTCTTCGGCATCGTGCCGACCGCGCCGTCTCTGGCACGCAGCAGGGCGTCGCCCTCAGACGCACGCCCGCACAGCGGAATTAGTGCCGCTCCATCTGCCGTCCGCGAGCCACGCTCGGAACGCTCGGAACGCTCGTTCTCGACACACTCAGTGTCCACCAACTCGGAGACTCCGATGTCCAGCACATTGACCGACTCGATCCAGTGCTCACGCCAGAAGCGCTACTACTTCCTAGCAGAGGTGGGTTCATGACTCGCCAATGCTCCGCCAGGAGAGAAGTGCGTAGCACCAGGGGTCTTCGACCTCCAATCGATCCAAGGCTCGTGGCCCTCTAGCCACGCCATACCAAGGATGAGATCATATCTCGAATCGAGGTCTAAGACCAGACAGCGTTCCACGCTATCAAAATCCAAAAACTTCACGCCCAAGTCCACAGGGACCTTAGGCACCGTGACACGAGTGCCCGTCGCGAGACGAACAGTGACGATATCACTCCCGCGCGCTACCAGCGCCTCAGCATAAAGCTGACTTCCGTCCATCGTAGAACGCCGGGCGTAGTTTCCCGACACTCCCGAATCGATCAAAATCGTCCATGGCTTCGTGAAGCCCTTCACCCAAGCTTGGACAACTAGCAAGCCTGGCTTGCATACACGTTCCGTGTTAGAGAGTACGACTCTCTTCGGGGCTAAGTCCTGTCGACCTCCACCTCGCCAAGGCTCAATAGAACCTAGTTCTTCTGGTTTGTCTCGGGGACTTCTCGGTTCCCCGAGACAAACCAGAGCCCTGGCTCGAGCTCGAAGAGCGGCTTGACGAAGTCTGGCG